AGAATGTTATTCTCTCTATAGCTTTGTGGTTCTTCTAACTCCATCCCTCATCTGGCATGCAAAGCATTCTGAAAATCATGCCTCTCTCTCAAAAACAGCATACATCTGCTGGCCTGTATCTGTTTATGCCAAGAAAGCTACTTAAAGCCTGGACAGAGATCAGCCCACTGCCTAGTTTCTACAGCTAAGCCTTGGTTCATGGATGGAAAGAGGTTCTAAGTGGACTTTGTGTCCTCCACTAGTTTCCTGATGGCCAGTTCAGGCCATGTCTGAAAACCTGAAGCATAGTTCTGCCAGGGCTTCTTAGCCAAATTGGTATTGCTGAATACCAAGCCTGGCAAGCCCAGTGTGTCTATTGTATGTTAGTCTGATGTACTCTGGACTTTGATCTTCACTTTATTCTCTTGACATCCAACCAGACCATCTCTTTTTTTCTGGTTTCTTCCCGTGTATCTCTCAGTCATACCATACTTGCTTAGATGAATACCTGGGACTGTGGCCTGCTCTATTCTCCAGGAACTTAAGTCTTGGTACTGCTTTACAAGACTTCAGCTTAGCTGAAGATGGTATAAGCTATGTTAAGCAGGAGATCTCTCTTGTGCACTACTAGAATTGCAATAAGCTTTGTAGTTGCAATATCATGCAGATTGTGCTCCATGCTCTTTGGATCAACTTACTGCCTATTCCATGAGTACTGATGCTTCCTTCTTTTCCTACTGCACACAGCATATGACCACTTAAGCATAATGGATTATTCAAGAACGAAAGTGGCTTCATCACCTAACTCATCAAGATTTGGAATGTATCTGTCATGCACAAATACAATATGAAGCACTTATTCTATTTCCAAAGGAGCAAAATTCTGCCATCTGAAACAAATCCTTTGACATCATTACTTTCCAATTATTATGGGACTTTATCTCATTGGTGCATGAAAACTGTCTTCAAATATTAGAAAGTCTTGACATAAAATATGCATATTCTGCCCTACAGAGCCAAAGCAAGTAGAAGTTGAGAGAGATAGATTTCAGTATGGTTTAAGAAAGAGCTTTTTAAACTTTCAGAGCTAGCTCAAGATGGACTATGCTCTTTTAGTAGGCGGTGATATTTTTGGTGTTTTAACAAGTACTAGGTTGAAATCCCAATGCTCAGCACCCAAAAAATTGTTTTAGCTTAGAATAAATAAAGAACACTTGATCAGAAGACATCAGTAATCTATCTCTACTCACAGACTCCCATCTGAGGGCCCTGGGATGTTCACTCTCTGACATAAGAGTGAAACTTCCATCTGGTCTACCATTTGGTCTACCCTGACAATCTGGAACTCCAAGGTGCAGTGTGCTGGGAAAATTGGTTTTGGGCTCCAGGGGATCTCTCCCCTTTGTCTGCTATAATTAACATCACAAGGAGTTATGCTAAATTCTTCATATTTTCCTATAATTAACTGCAAAATGTAGATGGACTGGCTTTCTGATGAATGAGAACACTTTTGATGAACCATGGAAGTTGCCACTTAATGATCCTTCCTGTATTTATTCTTGCTCTCTAACTGGTATGATGGTTCCAATTTGCAAGCTACCAAGCTGTACATTTATTTTCTGCTAGGATAGTTTCTTTTACAAACAAATTTTAAGGGTTCTAAGTATCTTTTATGAAGAGCAATTTTATGAAAGTTGAGAAAAACGTGAGTTTAAAAATCTTTAATGAGTCTGGAAAGGATGCAATAAACTCAATAAAATGACTGAGGGATGAATTTCTTTAAAAGAAAATGAAAAATTAAGCATATTTGACCCAGAAACAATATAGTTAAAATGAGGCTTGACAAAAATCTGGGAAATTATGAAAGTTTTAGAAGGTGGCCATGATATCCTTCAGGATTATTTCAGAACATTAAATTGCATGCACTTTTCTTAAAGCTGAGAAAAATCAAAGTTTTCAGCATTATTTTTCCCTGTTGACAAAAACATATTTGATGTTTTTCTCCTTTGCCATGCAAAATATCCCAAGTACCATCCACAGAAACAAGCTGGTCTTTCGTTTCACACTCAACCAATTACTATATGCTAGAAAAACTCAGGAAAACTTTCCAAATGTCTGAACATAATGAAAAACGTCTATCAATTTAAAATAATAATTAAAAAGGTGTGATGGAAAGCTGGGTTTCCCATGCCTCCAAATTTCTCTTACTTTTACTCAGGGTTCTTTTCGCTTCTAAAGTCACTGTTCTGAATGAAATAATCAGGAGGTATAGACTAGGAATGTAATTTCTAGCAAGGAGTCACTATATCAGGATTCTAATAGAGCAGCAAACAATGTCTTAGAACATTCTTTCAGAAGGAACAGAATCTTACTTAAAGTTCAAGAAAATGTAGTGTTTTAGAGAGATACCAATTAAATGGACTCCAAAGTGAAGTCAAAGGACCTGACATTAGGAAAGGCAGGAACCAGGTAATGAGAGGGGCCTCGGCAGTAGATGTTCATAGACTCTGACTCTCACAGCCCACCGTAAACAGTGTGAGACTGTGAGTCGGATTGTTTTGGTCCAAGTTACCCATGACTGGCTACTTCAGGCCAGGATGTACTCTTGATTAAATCAGACTGGTCAGGGATATTGAACACAGGCAGGATTTGGAGGAAAGCTTATCTTCGTAGAAGGTGAGTGGAAGGGGAAAATAATTGGCATATATAATGCATTGGTTAAAATAATTAAAACTTGGATCATGCAAAGATAAAAGTTATCCATTTCTTCAAATATAGGTTCAAAATTTCTGTGCCAATGTTTGAATTAATCTCAGTAAAAGACTGACACTGACATCCCTTTCTTAAAAAAAGAAATTTCATGAATATAATTCAGAAGTCTCTACCTAAAATATACTTTAGCTACAAATTAAAGTTGAAGATCATTATGATCAGAAAACATTTCTTGTTACTAATGCATATGAAAGAAACTGGTAATAATAATTATTCCTTTAGATTTGCTGTATCAATCATTACATATACTTCTTTAACATTTAGTAGTCTTAAAGCTATGCCAAGTTATCTAAATTACTAACTGCATAAATAGCAAACAGGCTGACAAGATCTATTGATTTTTTTCATTAATATAAATAAATATTAATATTAATTAAATTTAACAGATTAAAAAGTCTTCATAACACCCAATTCTGGTAACTATTATGGCTCTCAATAAATGTTCCAAACTCAGATGTTGTTTAAACTTCAATACTAATTGTAACGAGGAAGAAATAATCAGCATATATAACAAAGCATTAGCATCTCAACTTCCAAAACCTAAGCCACAAAGGGAGCCTCTGCTCTTTCTTTCTTTCAAGTATCATACCTCAGTAAAGTACAACACAGCTTCCTTTCTTTCATGAATAAATATTCTTCCCCAGTAGCAATTTAAGGAGTCAACTATTACCCCTTTAAGCCCGTCCTTTAGTAGATCCACAGTGACCCATAAAGATGTTGCAGCATGGCTCAAGTTCTTTAATAGTTTTCCCTGACCTTCAGGATAAAGTTGAAGCACTTCTGCAACCATAGAATGCAAACTTGTCTGGTCCTTTCTTTCCTCTCCAGATTCATCTTTCACTCTCCGCCTTACAGCTGATAGTTTAGTAGTAAGAAACTAACTACTTGTTGCTGCTCTTCACCTTCTTCTTCCAGGCCTTTTCTCATCTGATTGGAATATTCTTCTTCCCACCCCTTTCTTTACCTGAGGAATCTCTAATCTCCCATAATGACTCAGCTCCTGTAAATCTTTTCTGAGCCTACCAAATTGCGCTAAAATTTCCTCCCTTTTGGGACTTAGGTCCCAAAATGTACTGTGCCTTCCTCAATTACAGCATTTATGAATTATATTGATGAGATCAACTAATTGGTCTATTTCTCCATAAAACCATAAGCTGGTTCATGTTGTACTGCCAATACCTACTAGGGACTCAATTATACTAGAGTTATTGTTGAGTACAGTTACCCAAGAATACTATTTCTGTCACACTTAAGCCATTTGATGAAGAATTTGAAACCCCAATGAGGTCAAGAAACTTATCAATTAGTTGTTTAAAAAATATTCAACTGATTGAGTAAAGTGAATTTAATCTTTTAATTTTTCTTAATAGCCTCAAAAAAATGGCTGTTTATAGATGTAGCCCAAGAACATTTCCTTGGCATGCTGGTTCACTGCCTGGAGCCATCTAAACACTTTGCCTAAGATGAGCTAGTGATTTTTCAAGCAGTGGACACACCTATTGGTCTCAAGGCCATGGCCAAAATGGCGGTTTTTCATATAAGGGTTTTGTAATTGTGACTGTCACAAACGATGTGATTTGGTTCAATTGCCCAAAACAAGCAGCATATTTCTACTGCTCTATACCCTAAAGTCCTCATTATTTTATATTTTTAGCATAGTGAGAATATAAATAGCAACTTCATAAATGTTATGCTAATGCAAAAGAGAGATCTGATAGGCAAAGTAAGTAAAATGAAGGGATCACTGTATACACTGGCTCTTCGGAGATAATCCTGTTTTGCATTACTTGCATCTCTCAGATAACAGTGATTTGGAAGTCAGCACACCTGAATTGTCCAGATAACTGCTACAGTTCTTCCATTTCACTGTGCTAATGTAAGAATGGCCTAAGAACAATTTTTAAACAAAGCATATTGGGATGAAGCCTAAATAAGAAGGCAAAATTCTACTTTTTAAATTAATGGTAGAACTAGAATGATTTATAATTTATACTTTTGTTTTATATTCTGGAAAATGAGAACAAACACTTCAGGGGAGCTTACTACAAAAGATCATTATTTTCCTATTCCAATTCAGTTTTTCAGAGCATTTTAATTGCTAACGAGATAGCAATTAAACAGAATTAAACATAGGCAAACACTGCAAAATATACCCTCTACATTGCTCCTCTCTTTCTCCTTTCTGGGTATGAATGCATTCACATTCTCGCTGCCTCATTTATGGAATCCAGAGATAAAAAGTTCCTTACTTAGTATTATGTGTATCAATGGTATGGAAGAGCTCATGTAATTCTTCTCCACTGAGAACACCATCTGCAAAATATGCTTTGAATTCTTCAAAGGATAATTTTCCATCATCTGAAATGGCAAGAACAAAGAGACGTAAATTATTTTAATTTTATACATTGTTCTATTTTTTGCTTTATAAAACTTTGTCCAAATGCTTGTGCATGTACACACATGTATTCAAAGAGAAGGAACAGCTGAAGGTGTTAAAAAGAAAAATAATTTAATACATCTTTATATGATATAGAATGCAGATGTGTACACTCTGACAAAATATAATTCTATGACATTTTGGGTATTTTTTTGGTTCATTTATTCACGACAAACTTTTAACATTTAATGAATCATTTAACTGGCCATACAAGAAAGATATCCCCATAACCAAAGAAAGAGCTCAACACAGAATCAATTATTTACATGTTTTACTCTCATGGTATCAAGCACATATAGGACCTAGTAGATTCCACGATAAATATTGTGTTTAATAAATTATATCAAAGTTGTTATTATGGTCTAAAAAACTATGTCCATTCCTATCCCCTTTAAATCAGTGGGTACCTTTAAAGCCAAAGACATTTTACATACTGTAGGGGACAGTAAGTAAAACATATAATAAATATATAATAAAAGAGATAACATATACTGACACTATAAGTATTTTATATAGTAGAACACAGTTAATGCAATAAGGGACAGAGGTATTTTAACTGTATGGGAGTTTGGGTAATAAAAGATGCTTTTCATTTGAGGGCCTGAGGGGTTCTAGTAGCATCTGAGTGTGACTTTGCACAACAGGTAAAATCTAGATCAGCAAAGATGGAAGAAACACATTAATAGTAAGCAAAAGTTTTGTACAAAATACTCCTGAAGGTTGTAAATTGTATTTTATTTTTCTTTTTAACACAGAATCATAATAATATAATTTTCCAGTTAATTCTTGCCAACAGTTAACTGGGCAGATACAGCCTTAGAAACAGAATAAATCCAGATTTGGTTCAAGCAACGATCCACTGACTTGATCTTTGGCGACCTCCTGGACCAGCCCAGGTTAGCCATTCAGGTGACATAACAACCCATTGCAAAATGAAGTTTAATCCCCAGGGTCATCAATTGCCTAATTTTGTGTTTCTGTTTCTGAACGAGTTAGTTTTATGCCTCATATGACTATTTTAAACTTAGCCCCATGTAACCTGATTGATATGCTAGATTAGATATAGTGTGGTAATTCTGCTATGTATCTTCTTGCTTTGATGAAAAATATATTGCCAGGTTGGAAAACAATACAAATCAGACTGAGGTTAAAGAGAGAAAAAGAAAGACCTTTCATCTACTATTTAAAAAAAAAAAAAAACAATAAAAGAAAGAAAAACAAATCAATCCACTATTTCCATCTCCAGCACTATGACATGTAATAAATGTAATGCATTTATATTGATGATGGAAGATGTTTTCCTTGGTGCAGACTTAATATTTCTCAGGTGGGTGGAAACAGGCTATTACTGCACTCGGGTTGCCTGTGCACCCTGTGGATAGGGTGGGCCCCTGTAATACTGCTTTATAATTATGATAAGTAAGAGATTTCAAATAAGAATGTGCATTCTACCAAAACAAGCATTGATTAGTAAGTGCTCTGATGATTCTCTGGGGCTAAATCCTTTTATTTAGGAAAAAACTCTTATTAGAAAAAATATATAAAAAGAAAAAGGAAGCATTAGCTTACAATCTTGACTTGAAGGGTAGAAAGCGTGCTTTAGAAAACCTGTTGTGATGACATGCAGTATTCCTGAAAGGCTTCACTTTAGGGGGCCCACGCTTTTAAACAAGCAATTGCAAAGAGTTACTTTTGAATAGTTATGGATGAATACCTTAATATTAAACAAAAGTTTTACATTTTTTTAAACGATAGAGAAAAAATATTCCCTTGTAGTGTAATTCTGTATTGATAAAGCAATTATAAATTTTTATTAGAAACATTTTATTCAAACTTCAACTCTCCTACTGATATTTTCTTTTGAAATGGAACAACAGAGTTAACCTTTGATTTATACTGATTTGGCTCATATAATAGCCAAATCTTGAGAGGTCTGATTTCCTATGTTAATAAATTTGAACTTTTACCACCAAAGGACACAGATTTTTAGCTTTTTCTATTGGAATTAGATGCTTTATCCAAGTTTATCCTGAAACTAGTTGGCCCCTCTCTGCTTTATTTAAAAATTGACCTGGACTTATATTCGAAATTCCAATAACTTTTGAGATGGAGGCAGCAGAGTGCACTTGCTTGGACCATAGTCTTGGGACAAAAAAATCTTGAGTTTCAAACATGATTTGCTATTTGCTAGTAGGGCACTTTATCCACTCTTTCATTAAATGTTTATCAAGATCCTAGTATGTGCATAAAACTGTGTTTTGTATTAAGAACATAGGTAGACAAACTTTTATGGATCATATAACTAAGACATAATAAATGGGATGATATAATAAGGCTAACTCTATGAGACACAGGGAAATGTGAGAGCATTTTGAAAAAAAGAAAAATTGGTCAGCAACGCATAGTTATAACGGGATAGGGAAAGTTTCCCAGAAGAAATGGGACTTGTGATGAGACATAAATGAAAAATAGAAGTTAGTGAAGGAATATCTTTAAAGAGAAAGAGTATTCCAGGCAGAGGGAATACAAATGACAAAGCTAGGAGGCAAGAAAGGACTAAAGCAAAGAAAAGCACAGTGTGAAGAGACAAAACAAGCATTAGAACCAGATTCAGATATAACACAAATCATGAATGATGAAACAAGAAATTTAAAATAACTATGATTTAATATGGCTCTACTGGAAAAACTAAACAATATGCAAGGAGAGATGGGTAATGTAAACAGACAGATAAAAACTAACAAAGAATGAAAAGAAATACTAAAAATGAATAAAAACTGTTACAGAAATAAAGAATGCCTTTGTTGGGCTTATCAGTGGACTTGACACAGCTGAAGAAAGAATCAAAGAACTTAAGGATAGGTCAACAGAAATGTCAGTATTTTTCCTCCTCTGTGGCAATTTTAATCTAGTTTTTGTGAGCATTTAAAATGATTATCCTTTTAGAACACTGACTTTCTGAAATAGCAGTGCATAGCAAAAAGAGAATTTAAAAAACCCTGAACTTCTAAGAACTCTGGAAAATTTTAAAAAGTGTTACATATAATTGGAATATCAAAGGAGAAAGAAAGTACAAGGCAAAAGAAATATTTCAAGTAATAACAGCGAAGACAAATTTTATGTCAGAAACCAAAACCACTGATCCAGGAAGCTCAGAGAGTACCAAAGAGGATAAATCTCCCCTCTCCCAAAACCAAAGTCATACCTGTATGTATCAGATTCAAACTGCAGCAAACCAAAGACAAACAGAAAATGTAGAAAGAAAGAGAAGAAAACAACAAGCATCTCCTCTATTGAGGGGTAAGGAGAAGTAATAGACCTCTTATCAGAAACAGTGCAAGCAGTAAGAATGTGCAGTGAAATATTTAGAGCACTGAAGGAAAACATCACAAGCTATAATGCTATATCTAGTGAAATTTCTCTTCGAAAGTAAAGGTAAAATAAAGACCTTCTCAGACAAATAAAGCTGAACGAATTAATTGTCAGCAAAACTACCCTGTAAGAAATGTTAAAAGAAGAAAGATCCAAAATCAATATCTGAGCTTCAACTTTAGGACACTAAAGAGAGAGAAATAACTTACTTCAAAATAAGCAGAAGAAATAAATACTAAAAATTAGAGCAGAAATCAATGAAATTAAAAGCAGGAAAACAATAGAGAAAATAAACGGAACTAAAATATGATTGAAAAGACTGATAGAATTGATAAACCTCTAATCAGGCTAAGCAAGAAAAATGAGAGAAGACACACATAATCAATATCAAAAATGAAGGAAGAGTTAATCATTGTTGTTCCCACAAGCATTGAAAAGATAGTAAAGTAGTACTATGAACAACTCTATGCCCATAAATTTCATAATTCACCAGAAATAGATCAATTCATTGAAAGACACAAACTGCCAAAACTCCACAAAGAGAAATAGTTAATCTCCATAGGTTGATATGTATTAAAGAATCTATTATTAAAAACCTTACCAAAAAATAAAGCATAGACCAAATGGTTGTGCTGGTAAATTCTATGAAACATGTAAGCAACAAATGATACCAATTATCTATAATCTTTTTCAGAAAACTGAAGAATAAATAACACTCCCTAATTCATTGTATGAAGCTAGCATTAACCTAATACCAAGACCAGATAAAAAACATTACAAACAAGGAAAACAATAGAGCAATATAGCTCATCAACATAAATGAAAAAATTCTCAACAAAATATTAGCAAATCAATCCAAAAACATTTTAAAAATTACACACCAAGCTCAAGTGGAATTTAATTCAGGTATGGAAGGCTGAATTGATATTTTAAAATCCATCCATAAAATCAACAGGCTAAAGAAGAAAATATATTATATCAACTGATGAAGGAAATGCATTTGAAAGACTCATATACCCATTAATAACTCGCAGCAAACTGGGAATAGTCTCCAACTTGATGACAAAAGAAACTACAAAAAAAAAAAAAAACCATAGCTAACATCATACTTAATCATGGCAAAGTAGGTGTTTTTTTTTTCTTTAAGATTGAGAAGAAATCTTAGGAAGTGTCCTTTTTCACCAGTTCTATTGAACAATATCCAGGAAGTCCTACATACTGCTAAGAAGCAGGAATAAAGGTTATATATTATATAGATGGGAAGGTAGAAACAAAATTGTCTTTCTTCACCATGACATAATTGTCAATATAGAAAATCTCCCAAATTAGCAAAACACAAAACAGAAACCCTAGAGTTAAAAAGCAAATATAGAAAAGTTATATGGTACAAAGTTAGTATACAAAAGTCAATTGCTTTGTTTATTTCAGCAATAAACAATTGGAATTAGAAATTTAAAACAACATCATATATAATAGAAACTAAAAAATAGTTTGGCGCAGATCCAACAAAATTATAATGCTCTAAATGCAGAAAACTACAAAACTCTAA